TATCTTTATTCCTTCTACAATGACTTACTTAAGTTACCGATCAATCATTCTCTGAATTCGATTACTAAGACATAGATATATATTTTTGACAATTATGTAAGTTCAAATATACTTCATCATTTTTTAAGATTTTAGATTTAGGCGCATAAAAAAATTTGATCTAATTATGATTCAATTCAATTTACTTCGATTCAATTTGATATGCATACACAAATATGTATATGTAAACATTTGATAAAACTAAACAATTAAATTGAATTTAAATTACAATGCGACACACACACATATATAAGATTGGATTTTTGACAAAATTCATAATATTTAGTAGATTCGAATATGGATTAAAAAAACGAAATCAGTTGAACAATTAGATTAAATTCAAAATAGGTTTTCAAGACAAATTGTCATTAAGATAAGTCAAAATCTTATCATTGACAAACACACTCACAAAATGATATGTCAAAATAGCATTATCTATGAAAATTGTCTTTATTCTAATGCTTTAAAAAAAATTATATTAGTTTTTCATAGTCGGCTATCATTTTTTCACGTGTATTTATATATGAAATCTTTGAAAGTAAACAAAATAATATGAAGAATTATTTTATAAAAGGTGTTAAATTAGGAAATTTTTTTTATAGAGAATGAAATTTTGAAATAATAAATATGTTCATAAATGCAATGAATTTTGATAATTGTTGAGTAATCATTCTCTTTAATTTGATGGTTGCCCCCACTGAAAAAAAATTCTGGCTCTGCCCCTGTTTATGTCCTCAATCCAGGCATTTTCTGCCTATGATGAATCCAATAATTTAATTGGTTGAATATTTCCAAGGAAAATTACAATCAATCAAAGTCCTAAGGTTACATGTAAGCGCTTTACACTTATTTTACCTAACAAAATAGACGCGTGCACACACACACATAGACACACACACACACAAACAATTGAAAGACAACCATTCATGTTTATCGTGTGGAGTTACACCTTCAGAGGTTTCGTAAACCCTATTTGTTTATGTCCTCAATCTAGGCATTTTCTGCCTATGATGAATCCAATGATTTAATTTGTTGAATATTTCCAAGGAAAATTACAATCAATCTATGTCCTAAGGTTACATGTAAGCGCTTTACACTTACCTTACCTAACGAAATGGACGCGCACACACACACACATAGTTGAAAGACAACCATACATGTTTATCGTGTGGAGTTACACCTTCAGAGGTTTAGTAAATCCTATTTGTTTATGTCCTCAATCCAGGCATTTTCTGTCTATGATGAATCCAATGATTTAATTGGTTGAATATTTCCAAGGAAAACTACAATCAATCTAAGTCCTAAGGTTACATGTAAGCGTTTACACTTACTTTACCTAACGAAATGGACGCGTGCACACGCATACACACACACACAGTTGAAATACAACAGTACATGTTTATCGTAATTGCTACCAAAATAAAAAAGTTCCACCAAAAAGACCTGATTCTTTTCTTTCATGAATTAAATTGGCTGTCTTGCTGGTTGTGTGCACTAATTTTGTACCACTGTTTTAGTCCTATTGTTACCTTAGCAGTTCCATTTTGACCCCAGGTTTTGCTTGTGTGCTTGTCTACTGCTTTGAAGTTATGTTTATTCCTATCTGTTACACTTCTTTCACTCTACACCAGCATATTAATGAAAGAAATGGTCATCTAATTCAGAAAGCTCTCCACAACAACCACTTCTTTGTTTATTTCTCTTTTGGGTGATTTATTTTTTTTCTTGTTAGGATATATGGAGATGGTATACAAGGTTCACAGATAATGAGCCAGTTATCGAAGCGAATCAAATTAGGGTTATAACCTATATGAAGCAGGAGAGCGGCACGTGCCTTCGGGATTTGCCCTAGGATTGTAATCTATATATATTAAGTTGTAACCCTGATTAGAATGGAATAAAAACAAGGCAGCCGCTCTCTCGTGGACGAAGACAAATTATCGAACCACGTAAAATTCTTCTGTTTATCTTCTAATTTTTTTGTTTCTTTGATTGTTCATCGCTTCTTTCTCCATCTGAATTATATATAAGACATGATGTAATTTATCTCCACCTTCAACCCAATTCTCTAATCAAATCTATGACCAATGAACGGTTCATAATCAACAAGAATGACCACTCAACACTTTTGTTTGATCAAGTCTCTGTTAACAAAGCTTTGTTAACCAGTTAAACGGTCTGTTAGATTGACTACAATTTAACTCTTTTATACTTTTATCATAATATAGCAGTCTTTATCGTTCCATAACTTAAATAAAGGCTTAGATTGAACATGTCAAGAGCTTCCTATGGGGACACACAGTCACCTTTAGGTAGTATATGCATCAGCTTGATATAAACCTGATACAAAGTAAATGTAAAATATTCTCTCTTTCTTCTAATCTAGCTTCATCCTTTTATTAGTATTTAAAGTGATTCAGGTTGTTACTTGCTAAACCATTTATGGTCATTGAAGTTCTCTCTGAGTTGCTTTTATTTAGCAGTTTGGTTTTGAAGCCTGATGGAGGAATCATGGAGGGATGTCCCGATTCGTGTCATCCGTGTTCTCTAGTTGTTGTCTTCTCGAAGGCTTGACCCGTGACAAACGCAGTGAGCTTGTAGTATATTGATATCAAAGCAAATGACTGTCTCCGGATATTGAGGTATTTTCATTGGGTTTTTCCTTATTTTCATTCACATCTAAATTGTTCCAAATCATTTTTCGGCATTGATGTTATGTGTTGCCTAAGTGGTTGTGTACAGCGGTAGTGATCTTTGGACAACTGGAATTCCAGTTCAACAAATTGTAGGAATTATACTGCATATGCCCTGTGATGGATAGAGGAATGCATGATTTAATGGATAGAGGAATGCATGAAATAAATCATTAGGACTACAGGGCTTTTGAAGCTAACAAGACAGTTTGGCTGTGGGCCCCTGATTTAAAAATGGTTTTTTTTCTAGGGATGTGACACGAAATTTTAGAGTTTCTATCTTTCTTAAATTACCTTTTTAATAAATGGGCGAATCTAATCCAACTTGACACAATTAATAAATAAATCGGATATAATTGAAGTAATTCAAAAATAAACATGACTCGTTTATACGTCAGTTATACACGGATTATACCGATACGAACCTGATATAATACGATTTGTTAGATACGAATCGGGTATGAGTAAAAATATTTTTTGATATAAATCCGTTAAGACCCCACATTTCACTCTAAGACAATTGATGTTCCTATGTGCTCCACTCCGTTAAGACACGACCAGAGCAATCTTGCAAGGCCTTTCATTTGGCATGGAATCTGAACACTTTACCCACTTGAATGATTTTGGCTTGAATACGGGTGTTCCTCATTGGCGACTGTGGTGATGAAGGATTATGGCAACAAGGAGTTGATGGCAAGGAGGGCAAGAAAGTTCTTTGCAGGTTAGAACAAAGAGAAAAGAATTAGCAATGAAAATCAAAGAATATGTCAAATCGATCTTAAAATTGGAACACCATAAACAAATTCAAATGGGTGAAATTATTTCCACCCCGTAAATCTTCTTTTTTCATCCCATTTAATTATCAAAATAATCAACGGTTTGTAATCAACATGCTGACAAATCAACGGTCTTGTTTGCCAAAGTCTGTTAACGAAGCTTGACCAATCAAATTTCATAAATTTATATCTTCCACTATCAATTTCTTAGGATACTAACGGCCTGCATTGAACATGTCAACAGCTTCCTAAGGGACACAGTCATCTTTGGTAGTGTAAAGCTGTTTGATATAAGTTGATTTAGTTTGTTACTCCTTTTGTGTATGATCTTTGAAGCTACAGTGAACCATTCATGGAGGAATGTCCTGATATGATCAGCGGCTTACCATCCGAAATCAAGCTACTCATTGTTTCATTTGTCCCTTTGAAAGAAGCAGTAAGAACTAGCATTCTTTCAACTAAATGGAGGAGCATATGGGCACCATTACAAGTAATTTTGCAGTTGGATTCAGCTCAGGTGACAAGTCATGAAGCTAGTGAGAAGATAAAGGAAGCCATGGGTGTGTTATTAAGGTCTCATGATACTCCTCAACCATTGAAACTCCATATCAGCTCTTCCAAGATGGATATAGAGTCTTCAGAAGTTATGGATGAAGTTTTTATTATGGTTGTTAAGAGAGTCGATAAGGAGCTCCACCTTGACTTCTCTAAAGGAAAGCAAACGATGCGCGATTTCAATTTGGCACTTGATTCAAGTTGTTTGAATTCTGGTGAAAATATTCATTCTATGCAGAGAACTGACTTTTCTTCTCTCAAGTCTCTCCACCTTAGATCAATCGCCCACCTCGCAGAGAACTTTGTGTCAACCTTGTTCTCTAGTTGTCGGTTTCTTGAGAGTTTAACCCTTGAAAAATGCAGTGGACTACAAGATATCCGTATCAAAGCAAGTGACTGTCTCCGAAGCTTTGTGATGGTGGATTGTACAAACGTAATTAGTATATCACTTTCTGCATCCAACCTTAAATCCTTTTGGTACAGAGGAGTTCTTTCAAACTTTCAGCTGAAGAACACTCCACACTTGGTTGATATGATACTCAATTTGAAAGATGGTTCGGGCCAAAACGAGTTTGATGTTGAGGATGCCCTCTCTTTTCTAGACTGTGTCAAGGACATTGAAATTCTTACTATAAGCGGCTGGCTTCTTGAGGTATTTTTATTTAGTTTGGAAACCCCCTTCAACATTGTTGCTAAATGAATCGATTTGTTTTTTGTTATTTCCATTTCCAGTTAAATCATTAGTTCATGCACCATTGATTTCTGACATGGGCTATTATCAGTGGTTGTGTACAGCAGGGGTGATCTTTGGACTGCTGGAATTCCAGTTCAACAAGTTGAAGGAATTATGTTGTATATGCACTGTGATGGATAGAGGAATGCGTGATTCGCTTGCTTGCTTCTTAAACGCGACACCTTTCTTGGAGAAGTTGTTTGTCAATGTGAGTGTTTTCTCGTACAACTTCCATGGCTAGCAATGCTTCAAATTCGTGCACTAATTTTTTTTTCTGGCTTTTCTAAATATGCAGATCGACGAAAACTGTAGTAGTCCAATGCCATGCCCCTATTTTCAGCAATACTGGCATGAGCCTCACTTATGTATGAACTATGCAACTGTGAAATGCAATGCTTCTCAACTCAAACATCTAAGTACTTTTAAGATGGCTGGTTTTACAAGTGAAGAGGATCAATTACTTTTAATGGATCTTTTGCTTCATAAGGCACTTTTGCTCGAGACAGTGACTGTTACATCACCGGAGAATCGTTCATGGTCTGTTGCAAAAATTCCTCAATGTCATCTAAACCGGTTTCAAAGGTTCCAGCCTGAAAGTATGGTGGCATCCCTTCCAAACAAGGATTACTCTTTTGTATTAACAGAAGAGAAAAACAGTGACAAAAGCCCAAAAAGTGGCTACTCTTTACTGTTCTAGATCTAGACTCTGTCCTTTCCTCCTGTTTCTTTTGTGTGTGTGTCTGCTCTTCGATGAAAACAATGTCATAAGAACAATAAAATGAACAAATGCTCAATTTTTTGGATGGTTCTTGCTTCAATTTTGTTCCCATGATTTTTGTATTGTGGTGATTTTTTTCACAAACTTGTTCAAGTTATGATTATTGAAATAATTGACTGAAACTATTAAAAGATATGAAAAGGGTCTTGGAAATTGTGTAATATAGTAGTTACTACCGAGTAGTCACAATCAAAGATAACTTCTTTTTTTCAACGACAATTCTATTGTACCATATAAAAAATAATTTGGATCCTTAATTTTGATTTCAATGATCTCTAATCATCAAGAAAAATATAATAAAATAATAAAAAATTTAAAAACAATAAGAATAGAATATTATGTATGTGAATATAATATACTAATATAAAAATTTGAACAATGTAATATTTATATTGTAAATAATAATTAAAATAAATAAAAATTATAGTATTGAATTTTTTAGTGAATTTTTTTTTTTGGGATAAAATTTATATTATTGAATTAAAATAAATAAAAATTAAATTAATCTTAATCGTTATTGCGTTTTTATAAATTAAGAATTCAACTCTCACATGTAATATTAGATAGAAAGATTCGTATTAAGAAGATATAATATTCAGATTTAAAGTCATTCTGCAGTCCGGGTCAGGATTTAATATCCAGTCCTACATGTGATAACCCACCTTGACCCACAATCCAAACACCCCCATAGGGTTGGATCGGGAAAAATCATCTGTTACCCGAGACCAAATCCATGAGTCAACGCCCAGTTTAAGTCCGTTACCACTTACCACTCCGGTTCCCTCCATTTCCATCCTCACCAACCCTGTTCTATGTTCACAACCTAGTTGAACCTTTTAACAGTCGCCTTTGACTGCACGAGAGAGAGAGAGAGAGAGAGAGAGAGAGAGCAGAGTCACGGACGAGGACGACGCAATGGCCATAGCCGCCGCCATTTCAGTTCCTCTCACAACTCCTTCTCGCCGCTCTCTTTCTTCGTTTTCAAATACATTTCGATCCTATTCTTCTTGTTTTCCTCTTCAGACAAAAACGCACAAATTAATTTCTAATTCTATTCGGAACCCTAGTTTTAGCATTATCTCTGCTTCTTCAATGAGCGTCGAAGCGCCAGAGAAAGCCTCAGCAGCTTCTTTTCTCGATCGGAAAGAAAGTGGCTTTCTTCATTTTGTCAAATACCATGGTCTCGGCAATGACTTTATCTTGGTAAGAAAACTTAAATTTGTACTGTTTGGCCCCTAAGAAAATGTAAGAAAAGAACAGAAATCAAAGTTGTGAGATTTTGCCATTTTGTTTAGCTAACATTTTGGAAGATTATTGCTGCTTGTGTGACGTTTTTAGTTTCTGTGAATTTCCTCTTGTTATATGTTGTCTTGGCAGCATAACAAAACCCTTTTCCTTTCTTCATTGCTCTCTCTCTCTCTCTCTCAATTTTGTTGACTCGTATTTTTGTGTTTGGTTTGAGACTGATTCTTCATTTTGTGAGCTCGGGTTCGAATAGGTGGATAATCGAGATTCTATGGAGCCCAGGATCACACCGGAGCAAGCTGTGAAGTTATGTGATCGAAACTTCGGCATTGGCGCTGATGGAGTGATATTCGCGATGCCAGGGATCAATGGCACCGATTATACAATGAGAATTTTTAATTCTGATGGTAGTGAGCCTGAGGTTATATAACTTTTCTCAAAAACTCTCATCTTTTGTCCTTTAAAAGGTCTGAATGCCTAGCAAACATTACTTAATGTAATTTTTTTGATTCTCCGATTTTGATAGTCAACATGGTTTTTTATGTGCTCCAACTTTGATGCTTGTCATCTGTCAATATCTTTGTGAGGGTTAAGTGTAGTGCATGTATGGCCGCTTTTATCTGTCCAATTGGTCTCAATGTGGTTTAGCTTTTTAATTTATATACTTGGTTGTTAACAAATTTTCATTTTTGTTGTTGTAGATGTGTGGTAATGGGGTCCGTTGCTTTGCCAGATATATTGCTGAGCTTGATAATTTACATGGGAAGCAAAGGTGTGGTCTTTAGCCATCTCTATTTTGTTGTTTCGTTCAAATGAAGTGCTGCTGAGTTAAATCCTTGACATTCTTCTTGTGGCTTTATTGCTTACATGTTTTGTCAACACCATTGAGGCTTGGCCGTGATGCCTCTGTCTTGCTCTTCTAGTTTCCAAGTCTTGCTTATGGTGATGGACTTTAGTTAAAAGTTAAATTTCAAAGGCATTGCTAAATTTTGAGCGTTTTCTGTTCATGTCTTGCTTTAGCCAGTCATTCAGTTTTACTGCCTTCGTTATATGCTGCCTAGGCAAGAACTAAACCAAGGAAATAACTCTGACTGACCCCATGCCGTTACAATCTGTGCCAAGGGCGTGGCTGTCATCTTTGGGACACTAATGTGTGAAAGATATTTCCCATTTTGCATGGATCAGTCGAGAAAAATATCTACCTCTGAAGCCTGTGTTATTCCTTCACTTAAAAATATCAGTTATAGGTTCAAAACTTCAAATAATAAGCATTTTTAAAGGGAGCAATAATAAGTTATTACCTTGTGTTTCCTCCTTGAAAGTTGATTTTGTACACTATATGCCACAGGGATGTCTTATTGTTTTGCTACTTAAATTATGCAGTTTTACCGTACATACTGGAGCTGGTCTAATTGTTCCTGAAATTCAAGAGGACGGAAAGGTATTCTTGGTCTGTTGTCCATAGTCCATACATTTGGGCTTTGTCATGTGGTTTCTTCATTGCATCAAACATTGAAGTTATTATATTTTAGCTTTTTTCTGTTTGAAATTTTTATTTTTGAGTTCTTAACTGTAAATTGTATACTGTATATAACTTATTAGATGGTTGCCATTAGAGACCATTTATTCATTAGTTGTAATTATCAAAAAATCCCTAATATCTTTCTCAGACAGTTTTTTCTATAAATGTCTATTTTTGAAGGTACTACAGCTTGGTTTCTTGCATACATTTCACAATGTACTTTATGCAGGTTATGTCCTTTGACATTGCTTTCGGTGTCGTTCAGAATGCTTTGGAGCCTATGACCTTGTTAAGCATTAGCACTTCTTTACAAACATAACAAACTAACTTAGGGCATTAGTCATTCACCATAGGTTGATCAGAATTGCATGTTTTGATTTCAGGTTAGAGTTGATATGGGTGAACCCATACTGAAGGCATCAGATGTTCCCACAAAATTACCTGCAAATAAAGCTGATTCTGTTGTAAAATCAAAACTAGATGTAGATGGAGTAACATGGAATGTAACTTGCGTTAGCATGGGAAACCCCCACTGCATTACTTTTGGCGTCGAGGAAAACCAGGTTAGTAGTTTTCTTTTTCAATTTTAGGACTCGTTGGATATTAAGTGCACCTAGTTTGTCAAAAACTTCTTATAGACAGACATACACTGTTCTGGAAAACCCTGGGACCTGGTCCTTGGGAACAGATCTTTATATTTAACTGATTGGATGGTAATTTTTTTGCTACTTTGCCTTTTGGCAGTGAGTGGCATTGTGTTTTTTGATGTTTTCTTCTAATAATGGGGGAAAAATGATTGAACAACGACATATATACATGTGGTGAAAAAAAAGATAAATTTGTTAAGACCTAATTGTTTTCCTTCAAACATCTGCTGATCTTGTTGCTTGTCTCTTGCTTGTTATCATACAGAATTTGCAGATCGATGAATTGAAATTAGCAGAAATTGGCCCGAAATTTGAAAATCATGCAATGTTCCCTGCCCGAACTAACACAGGTCCATTTTTATTTATGCGGCGTCTCTCGGTGTCTCTCTCTCTCACACACACGCACACACTCAAGTATATGTCCAAAGGAGCCTATATGGGGAGACATGTATTATAACTCTTCAAATTTTGTGAATTGTTGTCAATATTTTTTTGGTTTTCAGTTCTTTATGGTGGTTCTATATTTTTAATCATGCCTGAGTTTGTGTTTTGACCTTCAAATTTCAACAATTTGGCAATTAGTTTAGCTTGTTATGTCTTTGGGTTGGCGAGATAAGAACATAGGTCCAATTATAATCTCAATGGAATATCTAGAACACATTCATTTCAGTTAGTGCCTCCCATTTTACTTCTTTTTTTTTTTTGTAATGTTTGTTCTGTTGCATTTATGTGGATGTTTGAAACTTCTTAAGGCTCTTATCTTTCATGTTTCAAACCCTGCTCTGCATGTTCATGAAAGGATTTGACTATGGGTAAAATGTTCCATCTCAACATATTTGGAATGTGCTTGCAAAGTTTACTCATGAGTCACGAGAAGGCTTGCTTTTTTTTGTAAGCTGCGTCTTTAAGTGATGTTAAAACCAACATTTAGGCTTCTTCCAAACCTTGATTTTGTCCTGAAGAGATGAGAGATGGTTATGCTTTTTGTTGGATCACTTGCACATTATCGGTGCTTTAATATAGCTGATTCAGAAATTGGATCAGGTGGCTTTCTCCTCCCAATCATGGGATTGAATCTCCCCAGTACCAAAAAAAGGAATTCGACATTAAGTGCGACTTTTAATTTGCCTTTGGGTATACTTTTCTGAATTACTAATTTTTAACGGTCTCATATTGCAGAATTTGTTCAAGTTTTCTCTCCTTCACAACTAAAAATGCGTGTTTGGGAGCGTGGGGCTGGTTAGTATTGCTATTTTGAGACATGACTGCTTACATGAATATATGCAATTTACTGCCCTGGAAAACTTTGAGCCATTTTTGGTGGTATTGCAAGCTGCCATTTTCCTCTTAATTGCTCAACCATGAAGCTTAAACTGGATGCAACTGTAGGAGCAACGCTAGCCTGCGGGACTGGAGCCTGTGCAGTACTTGTTGCAGCAGTTCTTGAGGGTCGTGCTGAGCGGGTAAGTTTAATTCTATGGCAATCATGCAATGGGATTTGAAAGAGTGAAAGTAAATATAAGGGCCTTATTGGTTTGTGTTTTAAAAAATAGCATCCGAAAACAGTTTTTGAGAAGAGTTTTGAGAAAGTAGTTTTGATATTTTTTAAGATAAAAAACTTGTTTGGTTAGATGATTCAAAAATAATTTTACAACACAGAAAATAGTAAAACTTGTTTGGACAGCCTAAATATATATTTGAATTGTAATTCAAACAATAATAAAAAAATATAAAAAAATTATTTTTAGATTGACAAATTCATAAAAAAAAATTCAATAACCAAACTTTAAAATATATATATATATATATATATATATATATATATATAAATATGTACGTATACAAATTCGTATATATACATATAAATAAATATACATATATTTATTTATATATATACACGTATATTTATACATATATATAAATGTATATACGTATTTATATATACATGTATAAATATATGTATATATATGTATATAACTAAATAAATAAATATATACATTTATACGTGTATATATATATATTTATTTATATATATAAATAAATAATATATATATAAATATATATATATATATATTGTTCTTCTTGTTTCCAAAATTTTCAAAGAAAACTCTTAAAACAAGCTACACTTGTTTTCTGTTTCTTTGACTCAAATCTCATTTTTTCCCAAAATTTAGAGAACAAAAATGCTAAACAAACAGATTTTGGGTGTTTTGGAAATTTTGAGAACAAAAAACTATTTCCGAGATGAGAACCAAACATGGCCTAATTTTCCCTAATTTTCCCTAATTTTCCCAATGATTCAGATTACAGTTATATACATAAAGATATCATATCATTCCTCTTAAGGTTTCAAGAGACAATTGCTACTTCTGTGTTTCATCACTACATGTTGACCAGTCAATTATTTATTTTTTGCTGCCCCCATTTTATTTTATGGATCTGTACAGTAACTGCTGAAAATGAAATAGAAAACAAAAATAGCGTGATGATAACGTTTTCTTGTAGTTTCTGAACTGCTCACCGCTTCCTACTTGTCCTCACCTCTATTTTTGTTGGTTTCATTGTTTGTCCTCGTCTTTCTTGTGAAACAGATTTGTACTGTTGATTTGCCTGGAGGGCCTTTGGAGATCGAATGGAGGGAGGAAGACAACCATGTATACATGACTGGCCCAGCTGAGGTTGTGTTTTACGGATCAGTTTCCCTCTAAGTACCCATCAAATGATTTTCAGAGGGAGGAGAATCAACTGTGTAAACTTCACTAAATCGAGTGAAACTCCATGTAATTTTTCTGTGTTTCTGTTCTCAATTATTGAAAAACGAAATACTGTTTTACGTTATTATTACCACAATTAAACTGTCTATTCTGCTAAATTTTCGAGTTTATTTGGTCACGGGGAATGAGAAGACCCATGCTCTGCTGGAATCTCAAGATCAGGAGGAGAGAGTGAACCACTTGGAGGCCACCCATAGCCACTCGGACTAGGCATTGTATTGTGTTTTCAAACCTTTCTCAGATAGCAGTATTTTCCATCCACTTGTACAGAACTATATGTGATTCACTGACCAGATTGATGTGACCCTATTTTTTCATTCCAGAACAATTAGCTTCGGCATTGTCTACTAGTTGCTGCTTTACATGAATTGCTGTCAAACGCCATTGAAATAATATCCTACTTGCTTCTAACCATTTGAAGAGTGCCAAGAAACGAAGTCGTTGGAAATGTGACCTTCTTGGACATATGTAAGTCGGGTTTTTAAGGATGAATTTTATAACTTGTTCATTCCATTTGACGTCAGAGATTATAGTCACGTCAATATAGAATTGAATGCAATCTTTATGGGTTCTTTCATGTTAAAAGTGACTGATAGACCAAGTTAAAATTTCAGTGACGTACGACCCTTGCATTTCAATAATTCTAAACAGTTCAATTAACTCAAATTTGTGTGCGCGGTGATTCTTGCACAATAAATGAATAGACAGATTTTTTCCATAGTGTATATGAGTTTTACTTGAAAAGTCGATGATTCCGTGGCAAATGGAAGTGAGAAATGGTATAAGGAGTAGTAATGAATTATTTTTCAATAGTTTGAACGTTCTCGGCGTATTGAGATGAACTCTGTCACTCAAAACGGAAGGTTAGAAGGACGCCAGAATATTTTTCGACGTGATTACTCTGACTATCAAGTCAGTATGTGAGAGAGGGGGTGAAAATTTACTGTTCTGTCACTTGAGTGAGAGTGTGTGTACCTTTATTTTGAATTTGTGAGAGTTATTTATACCTTCGTGAAAGTAATCATTGTGGACAGGTGAGTCTCTTGGAGAGGAGGCCCCTCATTGGCCCATTTTGGCAGGTGACCTGAGGAGCACAATCCTTGGTCAAAGTGTCTTCCTTGTTAGGCAGAAGGAAGCTTCTGCATTTAATACTCGGATTTCCGAGCATTTAATGCTCTCCTCCTGGAATTCGTCGAGCAATAAATGCATCACATCATTATGAATGATCATTTAATGTTTCCTTGTGATGGTTGCGCACGCATAGGGGTGCCTTTGTCCTTTGACTCTCTGTTCTGCGCTCTGCACCTCGTGCGTCACTATTATTGGTCACTAACCTATTCTTTTCTGCCATTCTGATTGCCTTGGAGAGGGGAATCAATAATTATTGACCAATTTCGACTCCAAGTCACGATAATCGTCAATACCGCCAGCCATATGTTGGGTTTTAGAGCCGAGGTGATGTGTCTAGTAGGGGACCTCAGGGTGTTAGGCACACCGAGGACACGCGTCATCATAACAACGCTCTGGGGTTATCAACGCTTAGGACATGCGTTAGTCACGAAAAGCCCCACGGAATACAAGTTGAGGACATGTGTCAATGTATGTAGTGTCTGGGGTACATTTACGTCGAGGACACATGTCACTCGTAAACAGAGCCGAGGGTTGCTCATGCCGAAGATTTGTGTCACTAGAGGAAGCACCCCACGTTCCTTATGTCGAAGACACGTATCAACTCCTTGTTAATTCTCAAAAATATCCCATCACTTTCAATGGTGCATGTCTAGTGTGTAATACGAGTTGGTATGGGGCAGTGAGAAAGCTCAGAGATAGGGAGATTATGTATGTAAGGGTATTAAGCAAGTATTTAAAGGGGAAGGCATGCTAAACAATTTCGGAATATGGAGTTTTGCTTTTTTATGTATTATAATAAAGATTAACTAAAAGATATAGTAGACTATTACGGATTATTATGACTCAATCTTTAAATTTGAAGATAAACAACTCCTTAATCTATTTCATACATTCAATACACTCGAATATATAATTCAAAATGAGATTGACACATAAATAATATTAAAATTCAAAAATAACATCCTTACTTGAAATAGTTCATCTTCTTTAACTTTGACCTAATAGTTTAGGTCGGACATACCCTTAATTCTATTCTAAATTGAATCATTAAAAGACTTATTTTCTTTTTGGATATCGATTATTTAATAACTTTGTCTAATGGTCACCCATTACTTCCATAAAACTATTCACCACCAAATCTAGATTTATTTATAGGCTTGTAGTCTTACCTTTTACGCTTCAAAGCACAAATCTGCCAAGGCGCCTCACATTTGAATTTTCACTAAATGGGCCCCAGGCACACGTTTTCAAAAAAGGTACATTACCTCCGCGTGTCTTCAACGGCTATCTTCTATTACAAATACGGAAATACCTTAAACCCCCAGAGTAGCCGTTAGAAAATTACAGCACTCTCTCTCTCTCTCAACCTCAACGCTGTGAACACAAAAACTAGCGAGAGAAACAAAGAAATTCTAGTGAGTTAAAAAGTTCCCTTTTTTCTGAGCATACTCCTCAAAAATCCTGTGACGAATATTCAGTCTTTTCATACCAACAATTCAGTAAGATCATTCGCAGTACATTTTAATGATGCATTCTGTTATTTGTTTTGGGGTTCTAATATGTGTTATTTGGTTTTGATTGATTAGAGAATGATGTCTTTGACTCCGGACCAATTTCGGAAAGTGGGAATGGGGTTGGCGCCATCTCCATCGCCGTTTCTCACACCAAGACCCGAGAGGCGTCGGCCGAGTTCAAGAGGGATTGAATGGAATTCAAGTAGGCAGGACAAAGATCAAGAGGTTAATGTGCAAGTCTTGCTCAGATGCAGGTGGGTATTGAAGATCTCTTTGCTTTTTTCTTCAAATCTTTATGAGGGTAAAGTCTTGTGTATTATGGTTAATCTAAGCACACGTTTGCACACATTCCTATATGACCATAGTAGATAAACTTTTTTGGACTTTCTGATATGCTCTTGTGAGTGAGGTACGGATACATTCCAGCTCTGCTTATACGAATCTTTTTCTTGTTCTTTCTGATTTTTAAGTATATTTTTTGAGTAGTTCTGGATTGCAACAAGGATTAGAGTGTGATTTGTAGTGTGCCTATAATGTTTTCTAGTTTAGGAACTATTTGAGGTTTTGTATGTTGGGTTAGCAGCTAGCAGGGTTTCTGACCGTAAGGAAGTGGATTGGAAATTTATGGAGAATTCACTGAATTTGATCTTTTTTTGGGAGTGATTTCCGTATTTCATGAATGAATTTGGGTTTAGGTTTCGGCTTTTGGGTTGTTTCTATAGAAGCTACTAATATTTTGAAAAATCCTTGTTCCCATGTGAGACAATGGAAATATTGTGAAGCTCTACTTGCAACAAGATCGGATGGGGATGTTTTGACACAGTTATGTAATCATCCTTAATTATTGTACGCTGCTCTGCTTAGTCATGTAATGCTAGACATCTTGAGAAGCAAAGCATTGTAACATACATGTTTTACATCAAAGCATGTGGCTAAGGATTGGATGCCCAGCCTGGCCGCTTGTGGTGTGTACACTATTACAAGTTGAGCAGGGTAAATTATAGGCTTAACAAAGAAATATTACATATTTATATTCTTAATAATTTCTTATTTGATTGCAATGCTTAGGCCACTAAACGAAGATGAGCAAAGGTTAAATGTCCCAAGGGTGATAACATGCAATGAACACAAAAGAGAGGTCACTGTCTTGCAAAGTGTAGCTAACAAGCAAGTAGATAGAGTATTCACCTTTGACAAGGTAAGCTTTTCCCTCTGTCATGATTATTCAGGTCCAATATGTTCTTCAATTAATACGTGATAATCCATATTTTAATTTTGTTTGAAACATCTGAAAGGTTTTTGGGCCTAAAGCACAGCAAAGATCAATATATGACCAAGCCATTGTCCCAATTGTTAATGAAGTCCTTGATGGCTTCAACTGCACTGTATTTGCTTATGGGCAAACAGGCACTGGTAAAACATATACAATGGAGGGAGGAATGAGAAATAAGGTAAGGAAATAGTGATTTTTATTTTGTGAACTAGAGTGATTGCATTTTTCTCCGCTGTCCCATAACTTTGCTGTACATCACTTGCTATAGGGTGGTGAACTGCCTGCAGACTCGGGTGTTATTCCAAGAGCAGTCCGTCAAATTTTTGATACACTAGAGGCACAAAATGCTGACTACAGTATGAAAGTCACATTTTTGGAACTTTATAATGAAGAAATAACTGATCTGCTAGCTACCGAAGACTATTCAAGAGCATCTGAGGAAAGGCAAAAGAAGCCTATCTCCTTGATGGAGGATGGAAAAGGTTGTGTCATTGTAAGAGGCCTTGAAGAAGAAGCCGTATATAGCGCAAATGAAATTTACAACCTCTTGGAACGAGGGGCAGCCAAAAGGCGTACAGCAGACACCTTGTTAAACAAACGCAGCAGGTATGGTGGCAATTTACATGGATATCTAATCTAGAAGAAGCCATATCGGAACTAATTTGATGTTTCTGCTGCAGTCGTTCTCATTCTGTGTTCACCATAACTGTTCATGTGAAAGAAACAGCGGTTGGCGACGAGGAGCTCATTAAATGTGGCAAGCTTAATCTTGTGGATCTGGCAGGCTCAGAGAATATTTCTCGTTCAGGTGCACGGGAGGTATTAAATAATTTCAGGTTATGCTGTTGGATAATTGTTTTGGTTGATTATATGTTTAAGTTGAATCCGGATGAGATGCATGGCAATTTTTCAGAAGAAGGGAACATACACTCATGATGAATTATATATTGCAAATGCGACCCCTTTTCTGAATCTAGGAACTCTCATAATCTGTGCAGGGATAAAAGTGGCCAAATCTTGTATGCAAATTGTATCGTTTTACCTCCGTATCGTACGATACTAACAACTATGCATAAAAGTAAAATTAGAATCAAACAATAAGATATTTTTTTGGAGTGGATTTAAACCGCATTTAAGAGCAAATGAAAGCATAAAAATGTCAAGTCAAAAGAAAATAACCCACAGGAGCACTTGAAAATTTCAAGCCTAAGATTTGCCTATCTATCCTCATTCCAAGTATCTGTCACTTATTCAAGTGTAACAATCACTCAAAGTCTGGATAATTCTCCTATGTATAGAGAACTCTTGCATTCCAAAAGGCAGAGTTAATTTCCATTTCCTTTCTGGTTGGCTACATTCAGCCATCTTCTTCAATGAATTCATTCTAATTGCTTTTTTGTTAAAACAAGTAGAGGAAACACATTTGAATCATTACGATTCTCAGTGTTTTTACTTGACATTGAATACTTCCCATACAGTTTCTCACAGGAATGCTTTTGACCTAAACCATATGAAAGTACTGTTAAATGAAACTTTAAATATGTGTGAAGACATAACTTCAAGGTGATCACAGTTTCTAGCGTACTCCTTCTCCTCGTGTTTGGGTGATTATAATAAATATGGTTTCTGCATCGATGGTCAAATTGGTTACTTAATCATCTTTAGGTAGTGTTAAACACATTGAGGTCTGATGGAATGTTGTGATTTATTTCAGGGACGTGCAAGAGAAGCGGGGGAAATAAACAAGAGCTTGCTGACCTTGGGTCGTGTCATAAATGCACTGGTGGAGCATACTGTTCATGTGCCTTACAGGTTTGTGCCGATGGCATGTAACTTCAATGTCTGTAATAGATGAAGTGGATTTTGACTCTCTTTTTTTTGGTAATATCCTTGTTCTGGTTTTTGTAGGGATAGCAAGCTAACAAGGCTACTAAGAGACTCACTAGGAGGGAAAACAAAAACTTGCATCATTGCAACAATTTCTCCATCTGCTTATTGTTTGGATGAAACTTTAAGCACACTCGATTATGCATATCGTGCTAAAAACATCAAAAACAAGCCAGAGGTCATATTGCTGTTCCTTTTGCATCATTTACAGTTTCCTTTCATATGTTATCGTCAGTCTTTGAGCTTAATGAAGCTTATCTTTGCAGGCAAACCAAAAAATGTCCAAGGCCATTCTGCTCAAGGATCTGTACTTGGAACTAGACAGAATGAAACAAGGTTTGACAGTGCACCTGCATTCTCTGTTGTGGTGTGATAAAATTCAAAACCAGATAATAGGTCTTCTTCTATATTGAAATCAAAGCAGATGTTCGAGCAGCAAGGGAAAAGAATGGTGTGTATATTCCACATGAAAGATTTGTACTGGATGAAGCTGAAAAAAAGGTATATTTCCTAGAAGTCCCTCGTAGCTTCCTTCTTTATATGCTTGATAGCAGACATGCGCAAATAACAAGAGTGGGCAGTTATGACTTACGGATTAGGTGAAATTTTCTAATCCTGTTGAATAAATTCATGTCCTATATTGCTTATAGGATAACCGCAACCAAAAAAGTGCCAAAAACTTCTTTTTTATTACAATGGAGATTAATATTCAAGTTTTAAATGTGTAAGTTGCAACATCATGCAGGCAAAGAACGAGAAGATAGAGCAGTTAGAGATTGATTTAAACGTCAGTGATAAGGTACTACTACCTTATACCTTGCAATCCCTGACTTTCTTTTTTGTAGACTAGCATCACCTGATATGCATGTATCTATCTATTGACTGACCTGTTTAATTCATGCAGCAAGTTGAGAAATATCGTGAGCTCTATCAAACTGAACAAGAAGAGAAATTAAACTTTGAATCCGAGCTCAGGGATTGTAAGGTATAAGCAGTTGGCTCAGTATAAGGATATTAACCTTACTTTAATTTCTTTACGGGCATTTATCTGAGTTATTATATTCTTCAGGTAAATCTAGAAAATAGCAACAAGGCCTTGCAAAATCTCCAAGAGAATCACAAAGTAGCCATATCAACGCTGAAAGAGAAAGAGTTTATCATCTCCAAACTGCTACATTCGGGTAAAAGAAAATTTTCAATAACACAAAAGGCGCCCCAATCTGCATATGCTGATTTATTCTGACATGCTGAATTTTTGTCAACAGAAAGTTGTCTGATTGAATGTGCGAAGGAGTTGCGGGCCAATTTGCACAATGCATCGGAGGACATAGTTGCTCTATTTGCAAAAATAGGTACATGTGTATTTTTTTTTTTTGGTGGGGGGAGGGGAGCTTGTCTGTGTTCATAACCATGATCGATTTATAGAGATGCAGCCTACCAATCATTTTTGTGAATATATAACAGTGTTTATCCCGTGTTTACTAAATTTGATTCTTCTAATATTGTTTAATTGGAATTATGCAAATGTAACATGGTCTTTTGACTCCGAAGTAATTTGAGTAGGAGGATTAAGGTTCAGCGGGACTTCGATATATTGTAGGTGAAAAGTTGAAAACTGGATAACAAGAAGAATCTTATGCACTGATTTGTTATGCTCCTTTAGTGTATATATGCCCTACACAGAAACTGGACTGCTTTCAAGTATCCAACTAACATTATGAATGGTTACAGATCAAAAAAGTAGATTGGAAGCACAAAACCAAGGTCTACTTCTCACATTTGGTTCACAGCTTGATCAAAGCTTAAAAGACCTTCACAAGACCATTCTGGGGTCAGTTTCCCATCAACAGCAACAACTAAGATGCATGGAAGAGCATGTTGGCTCATTTTTTGCTAGTAAATGTGATGTAAGACATTAAAGCTGAGAGTTTCAACTATATGTGAGCATTGTGAGTTCAATATTCATTACTTAACTTTTATTGTTATCCACCAGGTAACTCAGGTCATGGAATCACGGATTAAGAAAATGACAGAGACATACACTTCAGGAGTGGCAGCCCTGAAGGAGCTTGCGGACACACTGCAAAAAAAAGCTTCTTCTGATCTGGAGCAAATGAAGTCAACAGTTTTAATTCAAATAACTGCAGTCGAGAATGTATGAAATCTAAGTTAACCTTATTTGCAAGTATTGCTGATGGAGGTTTTACAATGATTCACATATGATGCTTTGTTTATTCACAGTTTCTTAAAACAGCAGTTTTGGAGGCTAAGGATGTAAATTGTGACATTCAGAGTTCATTAAATGAGCAAAGACAGCTGATGGCTTTTTTCGCTCAACAACAGGAAGAGGTAGGTCAATTTGTTGTTTTCTGGATGGGTTAGTATTTTCTATGATTTTAATTTTGACTTTAATCCTCGTTGATGTAGGGATTACACCGAAGTCTGGTTTCAGCACAAGTGATTTCGAAGGCAACAACTGATTTCTTCAATGACCTTAATCAGCGTATTTATGAGATGATGACAGTTCTTGAAGAAATTCTAATTGAAAAATCCCACCATATAGCAACTTTTGAGGAGATGTTCAAGGTCAAGTAGCCTTCTGAATGTAATTCGTTTTTTACTTGTACCAAGGGGATTTTGAAGTCTGATGACAGTTTGGTTTTCTTGTTATCCAGGAAGAGGCTGTTAGAGAAGAAAAACTGGCTATGGAAAACATTGCAGCAATATTAGCAACTCTAACAGCTAAGAAAACAGCTCTGGTGTCTAAAACCTCTAAGAACATCCAGGACACAAGTGTACAAGAGAATAAGAGATTGCTGCAAGAGCTGTTCAAGATGCAGCAAGTTTCAGTTGATGCAAAGAGGGAGTTGAATGGATACAGAGAGGAGGTTAAAAGTCGGTTCTTAGAAGAAACGTTCACATCAGCTGAATGCAAAGCTGCAATGGAAAATTGCCTCCAGGAATGGTAGGCTTTTATTCATCCACTTACATTGCTCAAACTAAATCCAATCCAAGCCTAGGGGTTTGGTAGGGTAGGGTGTGGAAACTAGAGCAATAGTGTTTTGAAAAAGCCTGGCTATGATTTTATGAAAAAGCCTGCATAAACAAATTACAGCAGAAAAATTGAGTTAATAGGAAGCAGCCCAAAAACCAAATATGTCGAAGTGGAAGTACTACCCTTTAAACCAGACAAGGCAGTGTTGTTACCTGTGGCATTTAATTAAACAAAAAATGGAATTTTAGAAGAATAAATCCAAACATTTTAACAGTATTATCAGATGAAACGAGTATCATTAGGATTTTGGATTATACTGTCAACCTGTGGACTTCAATTATTTTACTGCTCATTAAATTTAACTCCTTGAATTGTGCAGTGCAAATAAGTTGGATTATTCTGGGAAGCATTGGGAAAATGCACAATCATCCATCAACCATCTCAACAAGAGCAGTTTTGCAGAGATAAAATCTGCTGTGAAGTAAGTGATTTTGCTTCTTGGCTTGTTGAATGAATTATGTTTCTGTTTTTTTACGATTGTTATTGTCTCTCCATTACAGGGAAAAAGTTTGTGCAAATCAAGCCGCACATGATCAATTTGTCTGCACTTCCTCAACTATGGACGCAGAATTTGAAGCCCAAACCTGTGATGTGCTGACAACTATTAATGGTATTCTAAATGATTGCTTCTGCATAAAATAAGAAATTCTTTCTTTCCTTAGACAGCAACCGCTTTATAATTTGCACAAACTTGCAGATTCTCTGAAGTTGGACCATGAAGCAAAGAACGAACTAGACTCCATTTCTACCATCTGCTTGGATCAGCTCAATTCTTTACGAGAGAACCACAGTGGAAGCATATCAAATATCCGAAACAGAGCAGAGCAGTGTCTCAGGAAAGATTATTTGGTATGCTAGACTACATCTTTGGGCAGGAGGAATATGATTTTATGTACCTTTTGTCTTAGTCATATCTTACAATTATCTGTAAAATATATGGATCCTCACAAGTATTAAGCACAAATTGGAATTTTATGTGAGTCATTGTAACTCGTTTAATTTAACTGATCGTGTGATTTTAAACAGGTTGATCAGCATACTAATATGACTCCACAGAGGAGAGTAATACCAGTCCCCAGCCTGACTTCCATTGAGGAGATAAGAACACCAGCCTTTGAGGTTACTTCAGAGAAGAAACCCACATGGAGTGGTACTGATAGCAAAAATTCAAAGCAGCAAATGCAGGCATGTTTAGGAGCATCACCAAACAGAACTCCTTTTGCAGATGTCAATTGATAAGGGAGAGAAAAATTTGTTGTATGTTATTGGACGAGTCTTTGAACTAAACTCATCAGCTGATGAGTGGTGTTCCATTGTCTTGGCTCAGGACAGGTCAAAGAATCTGGAAAAAAACAATCTGTTTGTTGTCCAAGCAATTTTTCAGTAGTTCTTTTACTTATTGCTTTGGCGTAAAATTTTAGTTGTCACACTGTGTAATCATGGACGACTTTTCTGTTGCTTGGATCGATAACACATGCAGTGTAATCATGTATATGTGTTCTTTTTCATAGTTCTTTAAGCATTGCTAATTGATACACTTGAGATAGTTGTGAATGAAAAGGGATACTCAAATTAAGAGTAGAACCCCGTATATATATCCAAAAATAATACAGAGTGACTTAAACATCCTTGTAGTTTAGGCAAAATATAAAAATCATAGTAAGGGTACAAAAGGGAAAAGAAATCCTAATAAACCTAGACTATCTATACTCCAACACTCCCCCTCAAGCTAGGCGCAAAAATGTCAACTAAGCCAAGCTTGACAACGGAGTCCCGAAGAATAGACAGAGAGACAGGTTTGGTAAAAACATCCGCAACTTGATCACTGGTCCTCACAAACGATGGAGTAACAAGACCACTGCTGACCTTCTCCCGAAGAAAGTGAACATCGATCTCTATATGCTTCGTTCTCTCATGTAGTACAGAGTCAGAAGCGAGCTGAATAGTAGATTGATTATCACAATATAATGTGGATGGAGAGGTCACTGAAAAACCCAACTCGTCAAGAATTGATCGTAGCCAGATAATCTCACATGTGCCAAGTGCCAGTGCCCGATACTCTGCCTCTGCGGACGAGCGGGAGACAACTGCCTGCTTCTTGCTCTTCCAAGAGATAAGATGAGTCCCTCGAAAAGCACAGAAACGCGTAGTAGATCGACCATCACATGCTCCCCCATAATCTGAATCTGAATAACAGGCTAGAGAACCGGTCTGAGATCCTGATGCATAAAACAACCCAAGTCCAGGACAAGACTTGAGGTACCGAAGAATATGATAAACTGCATCAAGATGAGGCTGACATGGCCTATGCATGAACTGACTAACTCGGCTGACTGCAAATGAAATGTCTGGCCTAGTATTGGCTAAGTAGATAAGTCTACCTACCAATCTTTGATAAACTGTCGGATCTTTCAACTCCTCACCTTCAGCAGTAAGCTTCAGGTTTGGAATCATAGGTGATGATGCCGGTTTGCACCCCAACATCCCAGTGTCTGAAAGAAGATCCAAAACATACTTTCTCTGAGAAAGAACAATACCTCTGCTTCTACGGGCAACCTCAATCCCAAGAAAGTATCGCAGAAATCCAAGATCCTTCACATCGAAGGCCTTCCCAAGGTCTATCTTGACCTGCGCAGTCCCAGAAACATCATCACCAGTAATAATAATATCATCAACATATACCAGAAGGATGACACACTGTCCAGAAGTATTCCGTCGAATAAAGCAGGTATGATCAGAATGACACCTGGTGAACCCCAATCGTATGACTACATCACTGAAGCGAGAGAACCAGGCTCGTGGCGACTGTTTCAGTCCATAAAGAGACATACCTTTCCAGCATACTCCCCCTCACCACGAAAGCCTGGTGGTGCATCCATATAAATAATCTCGTCCAGATCACCGTGAAGAAACGCATTCTTCACATCTAATTGATGAAGAGGCCAAGAGTACTCCGCAGCCAGAGAGATAATTAACCGAACAGTAGTCAATTTTGCCACGGGGGCAAATGTAGCACCAAAATCACGACCTGGTACCTGAGTAAAGCCCTTCGCCACAAGTCTAGCCTTGTAACGATCAATAGTACCATCCGCAAGAAACTTCAGGGTGTAAACCCAGCGACAGCCAACAGGCTTCACCCCTGAAGGTAAGGAGACAAGATCCCATGTATGATTACGCTGAAGAGCGTCCATCTCTGTCTGCATGGCAAGAACCCACTGGGGCTCCCGCATAGCTTCCGAAATAGAGCGAGGAACCAGCGTATCTGATAAGGCCATAGTATAAGCTCGAAATGTGGGAGACAGATTACCATAAGAAACATAAGCAGAGATCGGATATAAAATCTTGGCGGTCCAACCATATCGATCAACTGGACGGCGATCACGCCTTGGATAACGACGCCCTAAATCATCATCCTCTACTGATAATATCTTATCAGGTAAAGTAACTGGCTCAGCACCTGTAATCTCATCAGTACTAACAACAGGTGCATCAATATGCTCAACAAACTGAGAAGTATTACCTGCATCGCCTGAGGTAGAGGGGATATCAGCAGGGTGATGAGAGCGAGGACAACGAGCATACACCTGCAAAGGAAGAGAGACTGGTAACTCTGTACTGACAGGGATGAGTGACTCCTTTGGAGGAAAAACGGATGACCCTGTAGGGATAGTGATCAATGACTCTGACTCTTGTGGTAATGGAAAATCAAAGGGAGTATCATCAACTGGAGGGGCAGACAAAGGACTGAAAGGAAAATAAGGAATATGCTCAAGAAAGGTAACATCTAGACTGTGATACATACGACGCCTAATAGGATCATAACATCGATACCCCTTAGATTGATGACAATAGCCCACAAAGATACAACGAATCGCTTTATCATCAAGTTTATGACGAGTAGGAGACCGATCCTGAACAAAACATGTGCATCCAAAAACACGAGGGAGAACCGGAAAAAGTGTCCGCTCAGGAAATAAGACCTGTAAGGGAGCCTTATGCTGAAGAACACGACTCGGCGTACGATTGCACAGAAAGGTAGAAGTCAAAACAGCAAAATGCCAATAAGATTTTGGTACCCTCATGCCTCTAAGCAGACAACGTACCATCCCTATCAAACTCCTATTTTTCCCTATCAAAAGTGAGTTGCTGAAGGATACCTTGAGAAGAAAGGTGAGACACTAAAGCATCAGACACATATTTTTTGGCATTATCCGAACGAAGAGCACGAACAATGACATCGAATTGTGTCTTAATCATCTGTAAAAACTGAGTGATTATAGGGAGCACATCAGACTTCCTATGCAAAAGGTAGACCCAAGTACAACGGGTATGATCATCTATAAATGTCACATAATATCTGGCACCTGACAGAGCAGTAACGGGAGAGGGTCCCCAAATATCAGAGTGTATTAGGTCAAATGGCTTGGGTGACTGGTGCATGCGAGGAATATAATTGGCCCTAACATGTTTTGATAGGGAACAGATAACGCAATCAAGTTTACCACCAACACAAGCATTACTCAAAGCAGGAAACAACATACATAAATATTTAAAATTTGTATGTCCAAAACGGTCATGCCACAATTGAACAGTTTGTGACGAAAAATCATAACGACAACTACTAGGTAAAATACTAGCATGCAAGCTAGGAACAGAAAAAGACAGCAGGTGCAGGTGAAGGAATTGGTGAAACTGGAGATGGATTGCCAAGATAATACAGTCCATCTTTCTCATGTCCCTTGATAATAATCCTCCTGGTACTCAGGTCCTGCAAATAACACGAATCAGATAAGAATACAACCGCACAGTGAAAATCTCTGGCTAACTGATGTACAGATAATAGATTCATGGCCAACTTTGGCGCATGAAAAACCGAATGTAATGTAAGGCCATCTGGGAGACGGACTGTACCCCTACTAACAATAGGGGCATGTGTTCCATCTGCTAACTGAACCTGTGTATGTAATGGCTCGTCAAAAGTGGTGAAGTGATGGGCCTCACCTGTCATGTGACCATTCGCACCCGAGTCCAACATCCAAAGGGGAGATGAACTGGCACAAGCGTGAAAGGCACGAGATATACCTGTAGTGGTGACAGCAGCAGTAGTCAGACTCTGAGAAGTCAGAGCAGACATAAGTATATCTAATCGGGAAGTGATAGCTTCCATATCACTTTGCCAAGGAGGAGCAGTAGCAGGAGTGGCGGTAGTGGGCGGTGGTACCTCAGCAATAGCAACAGTACGGCTGCGAGAAGGTGGCTTAAGCTCTGGATGGAGCTTCCAGCAAGTAGCCCTGAGATGTCCTGGTCGGCCACAATAATCACATTGACGGGAATCCCCCCGTCTGCGCTGATCTAGGGCGCCCTGACGGCGTTGCCCATCCCTGACTAAGGATCCTGAACGGGACCCTACAGCAGCTGCAAGGGCCATCTGGTCAATCGAAGGAGTCAAAGCTGCAACTGGAAGTGATGCAATACGGACTCGACGCTCATGCTGCTCAATCATCCCATACACCTCATAAAGAGAAGGAAGTGTCAACATCGACAAGATCTGAGAACGAGGTCCCTCAAACTCATCACGAAGCCCCATAAGGAACTTGTGAATCCTATCCTCCTGCTCTCGAGTATGCAAGAATGCTGCTCCCTCGGGCTCTATCTTCGGAATAGCAGCAAGAGGACGTAGAGACTCATACTCAAGCCAGCGCTGGGTCAAATAGCCATAATAATCCTGAACGGTCATATCTCCCTGCCGAGCATATGAGAGCTCCTGAGAAAGCTCATAAACACGAACTCCCCGTCCTGACTGAGAATACATCTCTGATAATGCGCTCCATAGCTTCGGAACAGAGCTATGAAACTGATGGATCCTGCAAACAGAGGGCTCCATGGAGCCAAATAACCATCCAAGAATGACACAGTTTTCAGAGAACCATGCAGAATATCCAGGGTCGGCATCAGCTGGCTTTGGGTGAGATCCCGTCAGCCAACCAAGCTTTCCTACACGGCCTAAGAAAAGCTGGAATGAGCGTGACCACTCAGCGAAGTTACGACCATTCAACAATTGTGCCGTAACTTTTTGAGAGATCATGCCCGGTAATGCTGGTAATGCAACTGTGCTAGTAGACACTGTATACTGGTCAAACATAAAAGTGGAAGTACCCATAGATGTCTCAACGGTAGAGGTGTCAACAGTAGGGTTCTCAAGTCCCTCAGTAGTAGCCATATCAACAACAATACTAGGGCATCCGTAACAGAAAAATAACTCTAAGATAAATAGAGGAATAAAATAAGGGAGAACAATATACCTTCAGTCGAACAGTAGCGACAAATAAGGAATGTCCAAAAAACTCCCAAATAATCAAGTCACGGTGCCCAGAAATCCAAAATATATAAATAAGTGATCTACTACATCAAGAGCAAATCAACAACCCCTCATAAAAAAAAAATCCTAGATATAACAGTGAGCTGGGTATGGATTTAATATGTCGGTGGGGTGTAT